GCTGTGCTTTGCCTCCTCGTGGCCCACCGGGCTCCTGTTAGCATCATGCCAGGCCCTGAAGGGGTTCACCAGGTTCCACGTGCCCTTGCCATGGTAGATCAGCATCAGCTTGTAGCTGCCATTTCTGTGGGCTGGGGATGTCACATCCTTTGGGACTCGCTAGGATTCGGTTTGTGGCCCCATCACTGCTGTGCTTTTGCGCCCCCCTTGAATATTTGTTATTTAAAAGCTACTTATACTTTTAAAAATTAAGTTTATTTCATGACTTATAAGTTCAAAATTGTAATAATTGATAATTTGTCATTTTGCTATATTGTATGAAAAAAATAAGAAGAATCCCAAAGAAGTAATTATAATATAAAAAATGGGGAATGTGTTTATTTTTGTATCTGATATTCATGCACATCTAAGTTTCATTTGCATGTGAGCTTGTGCTTGCACATGACTATGTTCATGTGTGTGCAAGTATTTAGCAAAATGTACTTAGTTGTCTGGTCTTCACACATTCACAACAGGGCTGTCAGGTGGCCTGAAAAACCAGTGCTACAAGCGTGCTGTCCCCTCGAGTGGCTATTTTATTAGTAAAAATATAGATAAATGTGATTAAATCCATTTGTATCACCAGTGGTTCAAGCCCCCCAAAGGGACAGTCATGTGTGTATCTCCTGGTGGCTCAAGTTTGTGCGAACGTGTTACTGTGTTCAAATCTTCCAACTTACTCCACCTAGCAACCCCAAACAAATCAAATCAAAAGTTTCCTAAAGCAAGCAATAAGGAAGATATCTTTCAAGGTACAAACTTTTCTGAAGATAACAACTATTCACAGGTAGAAAAAAAGATCACAGTGAGACTTTTCATGGCTGTTAACGACAGTCCTCCACCAGCAGCTAATCTAGTACCAAGCACACCTGGTGACCTCAGAGGATGAATTGAAGAAGGGAGGGTGTGCTTGGATGCCAGGGGGTCTGTCTGTGGTCTGTGCTTCTGCCTGTTAGACACAGTTCTACCCTCCTAGAGCCTAAGCCATGGGGCTCACGTCATGCTCTCTGCAGAATCTCACCTCAGCTTGCACACTTCTCTCTCACAAGTTCCTGGTACCATATAGTGCCTGCAGATACTGTGGAGACCAAGATCCAGTATTTTATCAGTGTAGTGTTTTCATTGGAGACTGTGAAAATTCAGCGGTCTACTACCAACTCTACTCAAATTGGCAAGTGGAGAACATGTTTGGATGAGAATTTAAGAGTACTTCCTGTGGGTGGAACATGTCATTAGTGGGATGAATTCTATCTTCTTTTGCACTTGTGGGTGGATAATATGTTACTTTGTCATGCCAGCTAGAATCACTGTATCCACAGTCCCCAGCCAGCTCCATCCCCACTTGACCAAAGTAAGCACATTTGGGGTGGGGGTCAGCTGAGGGCTTCTCTTCGGTTCATGTAACCTTGCCTCCCACAGGTACCAGGAAGGTTACTGAATCTGACCCAGATAATGGGATTGTCACTTCCCTGATAGCAGATGTCCTTTTTCAAGAACACACTAGGATTCTACCACGTGGAGGTCAGGTGTGGATGGATCATGGGCAGAAAATACTCTATATAAATGTCGCTGTAGATGAGAGACATTCATCCCCCACCTATGCTTGTTACTTATTGCATGAGAACTTGTTTGCAGATCTAGAGAGGTCCCAGATTGCCTTCACCCCACCAGGTGAGCATCACTGAAAGAAGAGAGATGCTCACCTGACTACAGCTTTTCTAAGGCTTTTACTTTTTATACTGGATTCTAAGCTACTTGGTCTTATGCATCTTTCATTTCCTTGATCTTTGTCTTGACTGTTATTTGCGCCTCTAAAGTAAACTTTTTCAGACCACTGAGTGATTGGATATGTCAAGCCATTTACATTAGCTTCCACTCCAACACTGTGCTGTTGGCTTGCTAGGGATATGCCTCCCTTCCTTCAGGTAGTCCTCAGTTGACCAATGAAATCTTGAGGGGGTTGAACCTTTGTCTTTATTCCTGCTCAGGTGCAGAATCTTTGAGAATATAGATTAGAAAAACTAGTCACTAAAGAGAAATAGAGCTGCATTTAAAAGACTACTACAAGTGGGGTTTGCAGACACTGACTCTGTTTCCATGAGAACCAGCTGTTCTGGGTGAGTTTCTTTCTCCAACCTTTAAAAGCACTTAGGGGTTTTCTGGGCTAATGTGTGTTTCTTAGGGAAAAAAAAAACTTATAATGAAGACAGAAAGAAAATATAGAGCAAAAATAAGAAAGACAAAAACAATCCCAATATGGGTTTCCTGTGTGAGAGTTTCTCGCAGTGAGCCTGTTGGATGTGTTACACATGCTATAGAATATTCATCTTGTCTCTCTGTGATATTTCTCTTTGTGTTTGGCATTACTGAGCCTTAGAGGTTATCATGAATGCCAGTTGTGTGAAATGAGCACAACTGACAGGATTTAAAGGCTCAGACTAACCTTTTTAATCCATCTATTCCCTATTCTCCGCCTTAGGCCATGCCTCTTCTGCAAGACTGTACGACATCCTTGCTCCTCTGATGGGAGCTGCATTCATTTCCTGAATGTCAGTCAAAGCCTCCCTCCTTGAGGAGCTAGAGGAATTCAAGCTTCTCCTCCTGACTAGATGGAAAAGAGCTATAAAGAATTTTCAGAATATGATGTGTGTCAGTATTTTTGCCAGCTGTGCTTAACTTTTTCATTTCTTTAATTTATGATTCTTTTTTCTTTCCCTGTTTATGTTAAATTTATAAAATTCATTCAGAATTAAACATTTGTGAAAGATCAGTTAATTATCACAACTTTTAATTAAATAAACCCATCAACACTGAAAGATAGCTGTGTGCCAGGCATTGTTCTGAGTGCTGGGGATTCAAAATAAGACCATATCACTGCTCTCCTGGAGCTCATATCCTAGTGAGCAGAGAAACAGAAAATAAATAAATGTGTAATATGCCCAGAGAGGTTAAGTGCTATGAAACGAAGTTAGGATATAAAGAACAGCAGGTGTTGGGGAGTGTGGTTCCCATTGGATGGTCAGTAAAGTCCTCTCAGATAAGGTTATATCTGCACAGACTTCTCAAGGATATGAGGGAGGGGCCATGCTGACAGTTTGAGGAAGTGTGATCTGGTTAGAACAGTCCAGTGTGCTTCATAGTACTTTTAAAATGTAGTGCAAGGGGGCAAAGGAGAAAGCAGTGCTACTCGTTAGGAGGTTTCTGTAGCTAAGTCTGTGAACATGGATTGGCTTGGACTAGAGTGATAATAAGGGCAGTGGTGAGCAGTGATTGGATTCTGGAACAGAAGGTGAGAGTCAGCAGGAGGTGACTGTTCTCTTGACTGTTATCTATTCTGAAGATCAGGGTCAGCAGGAGTTGAGGTGAAATATGCGGGAGACAAGAGTCAAAAATGACTTAGAGGTTCTGGCCTGAGTAATTGGTAGTTGCGGTTCCCTGAAGTGGCAGGGTTGGGATAGGGTCAGGCTTGGTGGGTTGTGGAAAGGACTGGCAGTTCAATTTGGGGCTTGCTCGGTTTGAGCTGCCTGTTAGACATCCAAGCAGCTATGCTCAGGAGGCAGTTGGGCATAAGAGTCTGAAATTCAAGAGGTGAGACTGGGGCAAGAGAATCAAAATCGAGTGTCATTGGGATATAGATGGGGTTAAAGCCGTGAGACTGCGTGAAACTATCCTGGAGTGAGGGGAGAGAGGACAGGAACTGAGAACTGGGAGCTCTGGTCATCTCCACAGCAGAGGTTGGGGAGAAGAGTAGCTAGGGAGACAGAAGAAAGCCGGGAAGGACTGTTGTCCCCAAAGCAAGAGAAGTAGCCAGTCTAAAAAGGAGCACAATCTCCTTGCTAACTTCTACTGGCTAGAGTAAAATTAACACTCATAAATGACCACCATTGGATTTGAACACAGGAACATCACTGGCAGCCTTAGTGAGGTCATTTTTAGTAGACCGTTGGAAGGGAGACCCGTCAAAGGAATGGGCACAAGAGAAAACAGCTAAGAAAATGGCAGTTGTTCGCTGAATGTACAGACAACTTTCCAGAAGAGTTTTGTAATGAAAGAAGAGGGAGGGACGAGGAGGGCTTACAGCGTGATGGCAAACCTTCTAGAACTTTTGATGGTACAAGCAGCATGGCAGTACATGGGCCAGGCGTGTGCCACAACTGGCCTAGAGGAAGCTGTGAATGAAAGGAGTGCATTTCTATTTCTCAAGCTAAGAGCAGTACCAATGTATGGTATTTGTGTGCTGATGGGAAGGATTAACCAGTAGACAGAGAAGATATAAAACTGCAGGAATGAGGTTGTAGGCAGAAGGGGTTGACATCAAGTACACACGTGGCATATCGGGAGGGCAGAATGTACTGATACAGATACAGGTGGGGTGATGGTAGGTTTGTGGTGAAAACGGGGGGCGGAAGAGTTGGGGGCTTGAGGAAGGAGCTAAGTAACGTAACAGTGGAAGAGTGAATTGATGACAGCAGTGGTGCTCATGTCACCCTCCTCTAGTATCCTATGTCCAGGGGAAATAGAATTCCTTGCCCTAAAATACCTGTTAACTGTCCTGTTTCTGTAATCTACTAAAGACCAAAATTCTGAAATATTCTTTGAAAAAGTAAAACTTAGATCTTTTGTATTGTGCAAGGTATAACACAAACTGAATTTTAAGAGGGGTTAATTGTTCTTGAAAAATGTTCCAATTCTGCTGCAAAAATTAAGTACCTAAGTACAGAGTTTCACACACAAGAGATAATAATTGGTCCATGCATTAAGGAGAGAACTCAGCTACTAGTGTGAAGCCTACAACCTACTACTCTGAAAAGAAAGACCTGACCTTCATCATCAAGAACGGTATCAGTTCAGTACACGTGCATCTTGCATTTTAAACAAGATATGGTATATGTATGCATTAAACAGTACTGCATTCATTTTTTAATGTAGCTGATGGTTTTCTTTTTGTAAAAATAAAACAGATTTTGTTGGAGCCAGGTGTGATCCAGGATGTATTAGCGGCTGGCAGCCACCTACAGCTGTTGGAGCTTCTCAATTTATGTTCCCACTATCTCATCCAGGTATGTGCGCTTGCATTTTGCTAATATGCCCTTTCCATCCCTTCCCCTGTGGTCCTAAACTGTCCCCGCCAACTGGAACCCACTGACATGTAAAGTGTGTGTGTGTGTGTGTGTGTGTGTGTGTGAGAATTTCTCCAGGATACAAGCAAAAGGCTCCTAGGAGGACAGGTGCAATTCTTGTGCTCTATCACAGATGAGAGCTTTTTCCCTCATCCCCTGTGCCTATTCCAGCTCCCCGCTACCCTCTGGTGGAAGATGAGTTCAACACCCATTCGCAGGCTTCCCTGTGGGGTCCTGGGGAGTTGACACTGAAAAGGTTCATGGTCTTAAGTAGTTTTGTTTAATTCTGTAAATGGACACAAATGCAAAGAAAGTCATATAGTCACTGAAGATTTCAGTAACAATAGCTAATATATCACAAAACCATATATAATTAGCCATCATGTGAACTTCCCAGGCAGTAAAAACGAGAAAGGATGAGTGAGCTGTGCATTTTTCCCCTTACTTGCTGACTGGTCAGGAAAGTCCCATGAAAGGAGGGAAGAGAAAGTTCCTGTCCATTGAAGACCTACTGTGTGTTCACTTATATTTCACATTCAGTCCGCACAGCAACTTTGCACAGGAAAAGTGAAAGATCAGAAATCTGAAGTTACATAGCTTATTTTGGGCAGTATGGCTGGTTAGTGGTAGGTCTTTCTGATTCCAAAGGTCATTTTTCCTCTTGGACAAAAGCGCTTTGATAGGTAATAGGCAATGGGACATGTAGGGCAGCCTTATGGCTGTGAGGCTCTTTTATTTTAGAGAGTCATGACAAATTTCCTACTTGGGGATTGTCCCATTTGTCCTACTGATTTGACTTTTACTTGCATTTGTTATAGCATTATAAGTACAATGAAAATTAATTTAAAAATAATAAATCTGTACAATTTAATTCTATTATCTTTGTGCATGTGACATATTGAGCAGAAAAATTTGATTTTCTTGCCCACTTTATCTTCCTTCAGAATCATTTTGTCTAATTCTAAGTATGCCCTTTATCACTGACCTCTGTTACCTGCTAGGTAGTTTACAAAGCTCTTTCTTATAATGAATCATTGCATCTTCCCAGCAGCCCTAGGAAATAGGGACCAATGCTTCCCAGGAAGGCAGCCATGTTCACCTAAGGAGAAACTCAAATACTGTATCTGAAATTTTTATCATTACCTCAGCACACTTAATTTATCAGTAAATGTGGAACTGTTTTCATCTTGTTTTCCTTCTTTTTCCCTCTCAATATTGTTGGCAGGTGTTGGAAAGTTGTTTCTAATTGTTTTCTGCCAATAGCAAATGGGAATCATACAGAAAGATTACAGGACCTCAAAAGTGTATGTTTGACTTGTGAAACTGAAATTACTTCTATTTAACATTTCTACATCAAATACTGCAACTTGAGCTTTAAGCATTATTCATTTTTCCCATGGCAGATAATGCAAGTTGACCAAAGTTTGGTTGTAGTGTTAATTATCATGATGTACCTTATAAATGCTGTGTATATACAGAGGTGTGTATACTTACACCTGCAATTATCTGTAAAAGAGAATTCCAGGTGAACACTGGAAATGTGTGTGTAATTTCCCCTACCTGATCTGATGAATTTTTGAGATTCTGTGTGACTTGTATACTTTGACCTTTAAAAACCCTTGCATTCCATTATGTTGCTGAACTAAAGAGCAAATTGCATACAGATTTATCTGTGTACAGTTATCATTCAGGTTTCTTGAACAGTCGTTAAAACATTCACTGTCTTTTGATAAATAAGTTTTTATTTAATTCTCTCATGTAACTTTTCCTTTTATCTGTCTACATTCTTTTTTAAATTAAATTTTATCTTTGATTACTGCAAGGTTGCAGACTTACACAGGAAAGTTGGACTATATGAGAACCCAAACCATGAATATGTGGAAATTATCATTACTTCATTTTTAAATATATATACCCTGCTTGTCAGTTTCCAGATTGAGACAGTTTGCTTTTATGTTTTTGACACAGTTCCATAGACACACATGTTTCATTTTTTGGCAGTATTGCTCAACTGATTTTTAAATTTCATGTAGGGCCATTTTATTGAATATATGAACTAAATTTTTGTTAAAATGAAAAATCCCCAGGTCTTAAAATATACCTTGAAACTGTGTCCTATTAATTAATGCTAACATAGTTTTCCTCCATGTTTGGTACTTTGACCAACTAGGGGTTTTTGAAACCCTTTTCCTCATTGAGATACCTGGTATGTATTATTTTGTTGTCATTACATTTTCACTCTTTCTTTGATTTTCCTGCTAAAGAGGTGTGAAGGGTGGACCCTCCACCCCAAGGCCCCGGTGTCCTCCAGTGCTCGGGACTAAGTACCCTCTCTGAGGAGAATCCCTGGGCAGGAGCTTCTGACCCCACCCTCACCGCACCTTCAGCTTTTGCCTTGGCTTGAAGCTCCTCTCAGTAACGTGATGCTCTGAGGAGCAAAGGTGACACAATGCACTTTAATGATCACCCAGGGTAGCTAGTGGAACCTTCCAAACCAGATTAACATCCTCCTTCTAAATCTGAATGAAAAGTACATCTTGGGGCCACTGTGGGCTTTTTCTTCTTGCTTTTCCTCAGGGAGACTACTGAGAGCAGGGACCCCAAACCCTGAGCAGGAACAGTGGGATCTGTGTCAAGGACAGCTATTGCATTACCCCCGAAGACTGAGGCCTTCGCCCAGGTTCTCCAAGCAAAGCATGTTTGTGGGAATAAGGGAGAGCCTGGGTATGAGCATAATGCTAATAGATGTGGGGAAGAGGTGGCCATAAGTGTGTCCATCCAATCCAGAGAGTGGATTTACAAACCCTTGCAGTTTGCATCCTTCTCACCCACTTTGCAGTAGCATTGCATAGGACGCTCTCCCAGGCAGCCTGTCATGTCGGTGTATTATTAAGCATGACCTGTCAGACATTGATTTGCTATTGAAGACCCACAGGTGAGATCCAGTACCAAATGAAACGTGACTATCTGCTTGAGTCTTCCTTGTTTATTGGTCTTTCCTAAATAATGTCACCTGAAAGATGTTCCGATTCATTAAGGAGCAGTTACTGTCTTTAAAGTGGATCTCACAATATGGATAAATGATCTCGCTTTTCAGAGCATGTGTGTTTGCATACATCCCATTCACTATTTTATATATCATAAAGGAAACCCTGTGATACCACTTTCCAGAATGGTGGGCTATGGCAGTGATGGGGAACCTTTCAGTGATACAAAGAGCACATGTGCCATAGGTTTGACATCACAGTGGTACAGCGATTCCTGGATGTCCACTGGTTTACTGTGTTCTTCATGTAAATATTACAAATCTTTGGAATCTCAGCTGGTTTCCCAAGTCTTGAGTTTTCCCAGATGGTTTCTGATGATTGAACATCAGTAATACATCTAAATATCACATGGGCAATTCAAATATCATAGATGAAACCCTTCTCTGCTGATGGTACTGTTGATCTGCTTGTTATCTAGAGATTTGGATACAGTTTCAGATGCCTTCATCACCACCACATCAAATCAATCACCAAGTTAGAGTTTATGTCACAAGTATTTATCACATCTAATCCTTTTCTCCATCGCTGTTACTGTCTTTTTAAAGACCCTCAGTATTGCTTAAATGTTCTAATTATAGCTCATAATATCCTTCTAAGGGGGTAACCTGTTTCTACCCTCTCTCCATGCCAAATTATAATCCCTTGAGCACTATTATCTTTCCCAGGGAAGGGAGCCAACATTTATCCAGGAGCTATCAGCACTGAGTGTTTTGCAAAGATTCACAGTTCCATTCTGCTAAGTAATCCCTTAAGGCAAGTGGGTACAGTTTTCTTTTTACAGATGGAGGAATTCAGATTTAGAAGGAGGATGTTAATCTGGTTTGGAAGCTGCCACTAGCTACCCTGGGTGATGATTAAAGTGCATTATGTCACCTACAGAAAATCTTCAGCCTTATCTGCATAGTCAGGCCGCTGCCACACTGTACTCAGTGCTTCTCCTGGTGCACTTTGCTCCAGATCCTAGGGCAGACCTCTTGACCTCTTGAGACTTGCGTTCAGGGAGACCAGGTGGAGGAGATCCTCAGTGACCAGCAAAGATGTCGGGCCTTCTTTAGACTGCACCAGGGAGCAGGAGTTGAGAAAGCATAAATATACACAGGTGTACACACACACACACACACACACACACACACATGAACCATCTCCTTTGCTGGTGCTCAGGCTCATAAAGTCGGGGGTAGCAGCAACTGGATTTTGCGTTGTATCTCCTGAAAATGATACACTAGGAGCCACAGGCCTTGCTAGATTTTTTCTTATACTAGCTTTCTTAAAAAAAAAAAAAAAAAAAAGCTTTGTTCCTTTTGTATTTTGTACCACTTCCTCCAGATACTATATTCTGTTGCTTAACAACTGTTCCTTATGTTCTACAAGCATTACAGCCTTTACAGTGATATACAGCTTAAATATATTAACAAAACGAGCATCACATAGACTTTTCCAATAAAACCACCAAAGTGGTGCATATATAAACTCCCTTTGATAGGAGTGTATTTCTACTATCTATTCCACGCAGCAGGTGGCAGTGTGAATCCACCAGAATTCAGTAGTTAATTTAAAGCGAAAATCAGAAAAAATGAAAAATTATTTATTTTCCTGCATATTAGTCTTCTGACCTAATCAGTAAAAAAGTCATTATTCACACCACACTGGGCAATATGCATTGTAATTTTTAACAAATAATAGGAAACTGTTAATGTGTTCACAGGAAATACAGTTTTGTCTTGGGCTTCTGTGGTCATTTATCACCGCACTTTGTGAAATCAGTCATTTGTTCTAATTTGAATGTAAATGACTCTAAGGTTTTACAAATAAGGTGACAGACTCACATAAATGTAATTGCAGGGTTCATCTCCCTCTTTTTATATATCACTCATTAGGTTATGAATTAAATAC